CAAATTTCTCATTTCATATTGTACTTTAATAAAATCTATATAAGTACATTTTTTTATATTAAATTTAAGCACGTTTGCCTACAATCTCATCTGACCTTAAGTAACGAGGTGGTCTAAGATGTTACACGCAAACCCAAAAAATGCCTATTCACCCTAGCTTTGAAAGATTCTATGTTAGAGTGATTTGGAAATACTCTTACATGGAACGTTTCAAATTTATATTTGAAAATACTTTTATTACAACCCTGCATTACGGAAAATTTGCAGTTGTTGAGCGGTAAATTTCCGACATTCAGTATATCATCTAGTTTCCCAATAATCAATAAAAATAATGTACTCGTACTTATATAAAAATGTGATGTTGAAATAAGGCTAAACCCTTATGCAGGGCAGAGGTCAGCAACCGTTCGACCCATCAAACCTCGTCAAATATTAAAGAGACTGAATGGAATTTCAACTTTCTAGTAGATACTATTTATTTCATTATATATGTATCTAAAACTTATAATTTGAATGTTCGAATCCTTGTTTTTTTTTACATATTTTATATAGCTGACATAAGATACATAACCGAATTGTATGTTTTACTTCGAAGGTCAAACAAATTGACAACCTACTTGATGTAAGGTGGTAACCGTCGCCAAAGCCCCTTATTCGATTATTGATAAATTATCATCATAAAATTATAACCATCTCTATTATGAAACTCTTGTACCATGAATATGTTGATATTCTTAAGAAGCTGATATTCTGAAGAGGTTATGTCTCCGTACCCAGTTATTTCAATTTAGGTATGTCCTTCGAATCAAATTACTTCTGATTTGGTTAACTATTTTCCGCTAGTTTTTATCAGATTACATTTCAGTGCTAAATTATACTTTAACAATAATTTAATTATAAGATATAATAATTAAATTTGAAAATAAAACTGATCATTATAATATGTAACTAGTCTGACCCTAAATACTTTTACATAATTTTTTTTTTTTTTAACTTTTTAATTATTTTGAAACACGTTTATTATTTTAAAAACTTCTTTCGATTTCGCACCATTTCATATATTTTATGGTATTCATTATCAAATTACAATATGGAATGGTTGCACAAAGTGGGTATAGAGCCGTCGATCATATTCCAGACACTTCAAAAGCTAGGTATCAGCCATATGTTCATGTATCGTACTATCAAGAGATATAAGAACGCTTCCTCTGTCCAAGACCAGAAAAGATCGGCTGTTAAAGCCAGAATTCGTCGAAATCCCATTAGGAAGCAAAAAATCTTATCGCGAGAAATAAAGATTCCCGCTAGGACTCTGTCGCGTATTATAAAATAAGACCTGAAGCTCGGCGCTTATCGTCGATATACAGGACATGCCCTAAATTAATCTTTACAATTAAAAAGAGTGGATCGGTCAAAACTTCTGTCGCACAGGTGAAAGGCGGAGAAATATCTATCATCTTTACCGATATAAAAATTTTCATGATTGAAGAACACTACAATAAGCAAAATGATGCAGTGTACGCTCATAGTTCTAAAATAGCTAGTCGGACAGGTGCAATGTAGTCACAATCTTGCGCCAGTGATGGTTTGACGGGGCGTGTCTTATCAAGCAGTCACAAAACTACATTTTTGTAAAAAAAGGAGTAAAAACTTCAGCCAAAGTGTATCTTGATACAGTCTTGTGTCGTGTTGTGAAATCTCTCAGCAATACATTTTATAAAAATATACTGTGGACTTTCCAGCAGGACTCTGCACCTGGTCACAAGACACGAACTACCCAAGCCTGGCTTGAAACCAACGTTCCGGATTTTATAAGAGCTACAGGCTGGCCCTCATCTAGCCCAGACCTCAACTCTTTAGACTTTAAATTATGGTCATTTTTAGAGAGCATGGCCTGCTCTAAACGATACGGCTACATTGAGTCTCTTAAAAAATCTTTGGAGAAAGCAGTGGCGGAATTTCCCTTGGAAACAGTGTGTAAATCCAAAGATTCGTGGTCAGACAGATTAAAGGCCTATATAAAAGCCAAAGGTGGCCATTCCGAATAGAATATATTTTTTTTTTGGTTTTTGCTGAGATTTTAATAAATATGTAAGTATAAATTTTAGTAATATTACATTACTTCATAAAAAATGCATTTTCATTTGTAATTGAACTTATATGGTAGAATAATGTAGTACTGAAGTATAATGTGGAAGTATGATCGTTTATCTTTAACATAGTAAGCGAAACGCTATATTTGTATCCATGTAAAAAACATCAGACGTATTATGTTATGGAGACAACTTTACAACTACTATCTACTATTCCTATGATTTTATTACGAATATCGTTAAATATATAAAAAAAAAATTTACACTAATTCAATAAAAAGTTAGTGATGCTAAGGTAAGTAATAATAACTTAATTGTTTTTTCTGCGACTTCATTAACTTTCAGGTCTGTTTTGCTGTCCGCCTTTATGCTTTGGGTAGAAGTTAATATAAATATTTTAATTTATATTATACAGGTATTATACTTCTCCTATTTTATTAACTTAATGAGTTATATAGGACAGTATTACTAGTGAAAATGTGAACTTTAATAAAGCTTTATTTCTCATTCGTTTTGCTCGAGTTTAATAGTGTAGATCTCACACTGGTAGACAAATTGGCTACACAGGACGATTGACCGCGTCTTACGAAATATTATTCTTGAATTAAAAAATCCTTACTAATAAATTATAAACGTGAAAGTTAATTTGTTTGTTTTTACGTCTCGACTCCATAACGGTTTTACCTATCGCCATAAAATTTAAAATATATTTAGTATTTAGGACGGAAAATGACGTAAATGAGTTTCTCTACTAATTGCTCTACTGGTCAATGTATATGTCCTAGTCACGTGAACGAATTCGCGGATAGCAATTAGTAATAAAAATTTGTACATTGCTTTTAGAGTTACTTTAACTAATTCGTGCTGAAATAATAAAATTGAATTATTGAATGTTACATGAATTCCCAAAATGGACATTCTTGGAGCCAACAATACGCAACTAATTATAATTAATTATTTACTTTAAGAGTCGTAATAAATTCCAATTTATTGTCAATACGAAGAGGTTGTTTGTTACACATACAATTGGCTCTGTACCAAAGTGGAGAAAATATTGGATTGTATTGGCAAGAAAAAATGCTTGTTCAACTTAGTCGTATCCAGTACGATTAAACTACTAATACATTGTAAAAATCTGGATTTGTACAAACCTACACATACGAGTATATCGTATAATACAAATAAGTACTTGATTTATTTCATTAATATTACTTTTTTTTATGAAACTTAGAATGATAAACAAGCTGACGGCCCACTTGATGGAAAGTGGTAACCGTCACCTATATGGGGGAAAGGGATTATTAATAGTGCGAACTATCAGTCCCATTGCTAGCAATATGCCTCATAAGATCGAGATCCTTGGAAACCATCGTGCTGAATTCTTGGTGTATTTATCACGATGGATTCACTGATGTCCCGCCAGTGTACCGTTAGCGCAGGTGGGGTAACCATTCCATTATCATTAATTAAAAAATTACAAGAAAAAAAACCGTTGCCTATAAACATGAACAGTACCATAAACAACAGAGTATACGGTTTTGCCCATGATACCCCCCATGAGTTACTAATTCTGAGGATTCAGATGTTCTGTACCTTGTAAATTCACTGCCATATTATTTTCAGAACTAAAATAATTTAGAAACCAAAGCACTAATATTTTCAGAACTAACGTAATTTAGAAACCAAAGCACTAATACATTTTTTTGATGGTAAAGTAGAAACACACTATAAATTTAATAGTTGTTATTTATTATAAATACATTTGGGGAATGCAAGTTTTCATTTGAGGATACTAAGTAATATTACTTTTTTCTATCATAATGAACCTTTTTAGTTCTTTTGTGGTCTTCGAAAAAATATCCAAAATATTTTATTGTTAAAAGTTTAATAAGCACACATTACATTCATTATGAGTATTATTATTACATTACATATTCATAAAAGTAAGTTTGTTATTTCGGTTTTATTTATTTATTTAGATTTTCTCTTTCGAGTTTTCCTATTTTGGTCGCTTTCCGTAGTAGTTATTTTAACACCCGCCAATGCCTTGTATAAAATTCCAAACATTATTTATTTACGGATTGTCTAAATAGTAAACCTAAATAAAATATAGATAAATATATATATATATATATATATATATATATATATATATACGTAACGAATTCAAGAATTAACCACGATAGTATCCAAGGAGAAACGTGTGGAAGTTGACCTGATAGGGTAAATTGCAATAACGATGTTAGACCCCATTTGAGCTGTTTAGGTACCAAGAAGTAACAAACAAACATTCCGTCACGAATAGTTAAGCTGATAAAATGCCAAACAAATAAGCTCATTTTCATGCCCTTTCTAACAATATAAAATGTGACAGCTTGTAAATACGTTTGGATGTTAGTTACTCACGCTTAAATGGTTTAACGTATATGGATACAATTTGACATACAGTTGTCTATAGTTTTTAGGAAAGAGAACGCATGTTTAGTAGGATTATAAACATGTTTACTACATACGAATTATTGTGTTGTGATGTATAAAATAACATGAATGATATAAAATTGTGTTAAAACTTAACACTGAGTGTAATACAGACTCATTAATTATTATTCGAAGTTTGTAGTCAGAGTTACTCGTAACTAGGTACTCGTCTTAGGAATATGAAATTGTAGGAATCTCGTTTTTACTAAAGAAATTTGGTGTTCTATAAAACATTACATAAATACTAAATGGTATAGATACACATTCTGATTTATTTAATTAATCATGTTCATAATTTTATTTAATATAACTGCTATAAATAATAATTTATAAGTGATATTCAACAGGTTATCACGCGTGCGCATTTGCTACTGCTATCCCAAATTGCCAACTGTATAGAAAATTTTCAGTCTGTGCTTGTATATAGTTTCGTGCGGATGTTCCCCGCGTACCACAATAAGCTTTTCGTCCAAACTTCCCAAACTTTGGCGGCGAGCTAAAAAGTTGTATGTTGTGTTGGATATGGACTAGAGAATTATGGATACTTTTACACAGTTCGTGTTACTAATATTGTGTTCCAGTTTGTATCGATTGCACTAATATGTAAATGTTGTGCTTGTCGGTGTTTTGTTGCGTGCTGAAAGTTTTCGCCGTGTGTAATTTCCTTGCTATCCTAGTTTCTAATTTAGATGAATTTTGCTTCAGTAATGCCGTGTTTATATGAAATCCATTAACATGTTTATATTGGTGTTTTGTTTACTAACACGTACGTAAAAAGTGTGCTTTTATTACTTCACAAATAACTAAGTAATTTATGCATTTGTCCTATAATTTGTGTAAACGGTTGAAAAAAATACCTACACTATAAGAATTAAACGTGACATATGAGCAAGTATTAAAAAAAATATTTATAGGGTTCAATTTTCATTATCTAACCATTATACAAAGTATACTTCTAAGCACATTCTTGTTACTAACTTAAAACATACTTGTTATTTATTTATCAGAATGAACTGTATTTATTTAGATGTTTCAGATGAATCTGTAAATTATTTTATGTAATAATAAATTAAATAAGCAATTATTAAAAGTTAAAAAATTTTAAACTATAAATTCATCGCGAATATACTGATAAATTTAGATTTATATTTTCAGAAAATATCGGTAGTAGGTTTTATAATCCACATCACCTAAAGGCCAAGTATTATAAATTAATTGTAATTACAAAAAAATATGAACGAAAATACACCGTGTTTGTAAATCTTAATCCATTAACTGGCGATTCAGGACATTTACTTAGTTCAGAACCAGATGTTATCTTAACTCACTTTAACCTTTTGACTGCATAGCTTTACAGCAGTTACCGTGCTTTTAGCGGCCGATTCAAATCTGTAACTTATGTTATACTTAGTTTATTAATGTTTCTAAATATGACAAGGTAGTTTAAAATATTGTAAATTTTCAGTATATAGGTAGTCTATCTCTATTTTATTACTATGTTAAGATAGTAGACGGTTAAACAACAAACAGGTTTTTTTTCGATATATCTGACGGGAAAGTTACGATATGAAACTATTTGACAGATAAATTCAACTGGGGCGGTTAAAAGGCGCTTCATTCTAACGAAGGTTATTTTTGAAACGCTATTTGCAGATTAGGTTAATAATAAAAATTCTGAAAAAATATATATAATAATTCTGTTCTTAAACTAGGATTTTTGTGTTCAAAACTAATTTATTTGAATTACAAGTTACATACATAAATTTAATAGAAAAAAAGTTTATTTCATTTTCTATAAATGGATATTTCCCCAAAACCGATAGACAAACTTTCGTGAATCATACTCAAAATTATATTGATTAACCAGGTTATAAAGTAGCCAATGCTCCTCTCCTTTATAAATACTACGTATAAACCAAATTTCACTACTTTTTACGTGTTTCTACCGTGAAGCCGTTATGTTTGCATGGTTGTGTTTCGGTTTAAAGAGTGGGCGTGAATTTACAGGGTACAGAGGAATAACATCTGAGTCCTCAGGAATGTCAACGCATGGGGGGTATCATGAGCGAAACAGTTATACTCTGTTATACCCATGGTACTGCTCATGTCAATAGGCGACGATTACTACTTTCCATCAGGTGGGCCGTCAGCTTGTTTGCCATTCTATGTTGTATATAAAAAAAAAATTTTAGTAAAAAAAAAATAAACAAAGTAAAGATAAAAATTAATCAATATTTAATGCAATATAGCAATATGACAATTTGAAGCTTATTAGTGATACAATAACTATAGTCTACGTTCTATATATATGGTGCGCCTTTGTTTCTTTGTACAATATCCATTCATTTACAAAAGCCTTTGTGTGCCATTATACCGCTAGTATTTCCATAAATATGGAAGTTAATTAAATATATATTATGATATAGGTACCTTTACCCATTAAAAGTTAATCATTAATTCATATGAATTACAATTTTATGAAATTCGAAATTACAGTAACTTATTTCAACCCTATTCAAAACAATTTAATTCTTTAAAATATTATTACAATGTTAGTATAATTAGACAAATATTTATTAAATTATATTTTGTTTAACAATTTGTGTATATAAAATTTATGTAAGGTACGGTTGTACCTTATCTATCTAATATTAAAAAAATCAAAGTCAGAATCACGAATTATTTTTTTATTACAATTTGTTACTTAAATATTACCTGAAAGAATTATATAAAAAACAATATTTTTAATTGTTTTTTGCTAGCTTTTATCCACGTCTTCCATCGCGTGATTGGAATATATTTACTGACGATATATAAGATAAAAGTAGCCCATATTCTTCTCCATCACATATAGTAAGTGTAAACCAAATTATATATTGATTAATTAAGACGCTGTAAGGTAATAAACAAACAAACATACTTTCACATTTATAACATTAGTAAGGATTTATTAGGATCAAGGTTCAGATTGTGGAATTGAGACTAAGGGATGGGCAGTAGCGTTCCTCTTAAAACATCTCCAAACTCTAACTGCGGTTACCTATACACCTACCAAGCGTGGCAACTACTGGCAAAACCCCCCCAAGGAGGAGGATTATATTCAGCAGTGGACAGTTAAAGGCTGATATGAAGATGATATGATGAAAGTCTGGACCTTTAATTGTAATTCAAACCTGTATTAATCTGAATTAATAACAATAACAAAGTATATTGTGTGGGAATATTAATAATTTCAAGTATCTTTAAATATTTATATATTAATAAGTACTGGAAAGGAAAATAAAAGAAAGCATTCTGTAGCTAATTATGTGTATTATTTATTATTATATTTTTATTGATATAAAATTATAATATGTATAGTTAATATAATTATTATGGACTATTTAAAGAATGTAACTATTATTAGATAATATATATTGCATAATATGCTTAATTATAAAGTTTTAGGGGAAACCCTGCAGCTGTTTGAAGCAAAAGTAACAAATTCTTTTTCAAGTGATTTCAAAAAGAAAGAGGGTCGCGATACGATTATATTTTTTTCTGTTTGTTACTTTATAACTCCGTTGATTATAAAACGATTTATTCTTTTTTTCTTTTACTGAAAAATGAAGATATATTTACAGATTCATGCCATATAATTTTTTTCAAATTCGACCCAATAGTTTCACTTTTAAATCGAAATAAATGGTTTTGCTATAATTGAAATTGTTTTTTTTTATTATTTTTTTATTGGTTAATACAATCTCAAATTATTTAATCTGTATTCATATTATGAGGAGGGAATATTTGATTGTTGGGTTCAGTGCATACAGATGGCTCAGGACTGTTATTTGTGGCAGTCTGTGGGGGAGGCCTATGTTCAGCAGTGGACGGATAATGGCTGAAATGATGATGATGAAGATTTGATTGTTTGTAATAGATGAACTTAACCGTTTTAAAAAATTCTTTCATCTATAAAAAGTTACATTACCAGCAAGTAACGCAGGTTGTGTATTATATTCCAAAATTCTCTCTACCCGTTTGAAATCGGGCTGGATCTCTTGTGGTATATATTAAAAAATATATATATAATTCTGCACCCGCAACAGAGCAACTTTGAAATATATTTATACTGCAATATTAAATATATTGCTTGTCGAATAATATCTTTAAACAAGATTATTAATTTTTAATTTTTATGGCTACCACAGAATATCAGCGCTGTTGCAATTAATTTGCTGCAACACATGCTCAGTGACGGCCACGTTGGCAGCGACAAACATGAAATTTGTTTCGGTTTTCTATCCTTAATAAGTATAATATTATTTTGGTGTTGGCAATAAATATTTTCTTTCCGTATTTTGGTATTCACAGTCAGCTCTGCTTAATATACGACTAGATGGCGCTTAGTGTAAAAAATTTTCATTAAGCGATTATAAAAGTGAGGTAACACCTAATATAGATTAATGTATAGTATCGCATAATACTATTACTTTTTTTTTATGCAACTTAGAATGACAAACAAACTCATGATGAAAAGTGGTAACCGTCGCCTATAAACATGAACATTACCTTGGATGTTTCCAATACCAGTAATATTTCGCCCATGATATCCCCCATGCGTTGCTATTCCCAAGGACTCGGGTATTATTCCTCTGTACCCTGTAAATTCACTGCCATATCCCACCCTTCAAACCGAAACACATGCAAACACAACTGCTTTACGGTTAAAACACGAATGGGACAGAGGTGCCCAAGCAAACGACTTTTGTACAGTCTCCTTATGGTAAATCTTAATCTGTGATACTACCTTAGTGGTATAAATACATTGTAGTAAAATTAGCCGTTCTTAGAAAATATGTCATTTATGTATGTAGTTTCAATGACAATGACAACATAGTTAATATTTGTACAAAAGGGTTCACGGACATTTAAAGGGCAATTAGCGTTATACAGGTAACAAAACACTTTACGGGAATTTCATGCTTATAGATATTTCAAGTGCTGAATTTATTTTAAGTACAAAATAATTGTTATTTTATTTTGAAGTAGTTTGGAGTATGATTTAAATAAAAAAAATGGGGTTGTCAAGATACAAAAAATCAAAATTAAGCTAATTTAAAAAAAAAAAACTATTTCGGAACGGGTATATTTACAATGGCTGGGAGTGGACGAATTAAAAGCATAATTTGAAAGCTTTGGAGTAATTAAGAATTTAAAATTGAATAATAGATTTTTTTTAATAATATTAAACTACAAAATAATAAAAAAAAGTTTCGAGGTGATAACTTTGAAACGCCTGAACAGATCTAAAAAATAAATTGTAGCTTAGAACCATCTCAATCACGGTAGCATTCAAACAAACAAAAAAACGCATTATATATAATTGGTCTATTTGTTTAGGAGCTACGATATTATAAACAGACAGGCAGACACACAGAGATGTCAAACTTATAATACCCCTTTTTGCGTCGGGGGTTAATTAGACAATAATAAAAGATTGTGTCCCACAATACAAACCGACTTCAATTGTGACAATACCGGTTATTTTGATTAAAAAACTAAAGTATTGAACCGATTTTGATAACATTTGTATGGGAT